GTGCTTTTCCGAATTAATGAGAGAAAATGTTGATTCTCCTGCTGCCCACGAAGGTGGAAAGTGAAGTGGGGAGACATGTGGGGAATGAGCAAGGTTCCCTGTCTGGGGGTTCCAAATCTGCTGTTGGTTTCTTTCACCACTGACTAGAGATATACAGGGTGTCCCCCCAAAATGTATACACACTTTGAATACCTACTAATTCCAATGGTTTTAAGCATAAGAAAGAAACAACAATGGAGCTGTTATCTGTTAAAAGTGTGGGCACAAACAGGCAGTTGGACATTCCCTGAGGGGTCTCAGATTGGAGAGGGTGAAGGCCAGACTGAGGGGCCCCCCTCTCCCCCCTCCCCCAGTGCACGAATTTCGTGCACCGGGCTACTAGTAATAATAATAAAAGGCTAATATGCAAACTGACTGAACGTCAGAATGGCCGTTTGCTATGATGCGCACTGGCCACCAGGGAGCAGATGCTCAATGCAGGAGCTGCCCCCTGGTGGTCAGTGCACTTCCATATGGGGAGTGCCACTCAGCCAGAAGCTGGCTCATGGCTGGCCAGCGCAGAGGTGGTGGCAGGAGCCTCTCCCACCTCCGTGGCAGCACTAAGAATGTCCAACTAACAGTTTAGACCCGATCCCTTGGGGGCCTAAGCCTTTAGTCGGACATCCCCCGAGGGCTCCCTGGCTGCCAGAAGGATGTCTGACTGCAAGCTTAGGCCTGATCCCCCGGGGAGTGGGCCTAAGTCAACAGGTGGACATCCCCTAAGGGGTCCTGGACTGCATATGGGCACAGGATGGGCTGAGGGACTGCCCCCCCCCCGCCCCAGTGCACAAATTTTTGTGCACCGGGCCTCTAGCCTATAATACTTGAGGAATCTGGATCATTCTGAATAAGGAGTTTTAAACTCTGCTATATTAAACAGCCACATTACAGCCCTGGCCAGGCTGCTGTTGGTTGGAGCATTGTCCTGCACACCAAAAGGTTGTAGGTTCGATTCCTGGTCGGGGTGTGTATGGGAGGCAACCAATGGATGTTTCTCTCTCTCCCTTCCTTTCCCTAAATTAATAAACATATCCTTGGGTGAAGATTAAAAAAATCAAACCACCACCATAGTACAACCATTTTCTTAAACTATTATCTCCAAACCCTTGGACTCTGACAGCCACAGAGACTTTGATGATATCCCCTAAACACGAACTCCAGCTCCTTCTCCCTTGGTGTGATCACATTCATTCAATCACTTGAAAAATACTGACCGAACAACCACAGGCCAGGCAATGTGGGTGTTAGGGATAAAGCAGCAAACAGGAAGGTCTTTACCACAGATGGTTTATATTCTATCACAGGGGCAGACAGACAATACATATATAGTATCAGGTGCTCAACAGTGACAGGAGAAATGACAGGGGTTGGGAGGAGCATGTAATGATTTTAATCTACCCGTTACGTATTAGGTTGAACCACATGAAACTGCCGATCTCCGACCATTTCTAATTTACAGAATGCTCCATTTCCTACGGGTCTATCTGAGAGCTTCCTTTCATAGGGGACAATCAAGAATCCTTCTGATGGACGACAAATTATAAGGAATCCCCGAAAGGCAGCAGACACCCAGAACTGGCTGACTCAACCTCCCTTCCATAACAGAAGACGTAGGAGAGGCTCTGGGTATTGTAAGTTCAGAGGTAATGAGGGGAGGAGCAGGATGACTACGGGGTGGTCTAGATGACTGAATGGGGGACTCTGGTAGGAACTCCAAATAGCTCACACCCTTTGGCACTTCTCCCCACCACTCTGGATGAAGGTGCAGAGCGCAGTCACCTGTCTCCATCCAGAGCACCCTGGGAGGCGGTTATTTCCACCAGGAATGGGGCGTGGGAGGAGCGGGAAGGAATCCCCACCGGACTCCCACTTTCCCTTGTGATTTCTTCCACTACTTCTAAAGGCAGAAGCAGCCCAGGATCTTGGCAGCCTATTACTGTTTAATTTTGCGGGTAAAGAAACATTATATCTTACCTGTGTAAATAACAAAAAATCCCTAGCTCCTGAACCAACTGTGGCCCTGCACCAACCAGACATTATGTGCCTCCTGATAGGATCTGTGACCCTGCTGAGGTTCAAGGTTCAAGAATTTGAACCTTGTTCTGATAAGGCCTCCAGAGCTAACCACTGATTTCCGGCAAAGACAGGAGACGGGAAGACGCCAAGTGACACTTAGGGATGCAAACAGCAAAATCCAGCACGTGGGGAGACTCCCCAGGACAAGAAAGGAGGCAAGGGGATGGGGACCTCTAGACCAGCGGTTCTCAACCTGTGGGTCACGACCCCTTTGGGGGTCAAACGACCCTTTCACAGGGGTTGCCTAAGACCATCGGAAAACACATATATAATTACATATCGTTTTTGTGATTAATCACTATGCGTTAATTATGTTCAAGTTGTAACGATGAAATTGGGGGTCACCACAACATGAGGAACTGTATTAGAGGGTCACGGCATGAGGAAGGTTGAGAATCACTGCTCTAGACAAAGAAGCAGATTCATTAATACACTCGTGTGCAACCAGTGGCCTCCTCTGGCCCCTTATTTGAACAAATCAACTAGAAAAAGAAAGTTTGTGAGATAAGAGGAAAAAGGAGAACATTGCCTGGACACTTAATACTAAGGAAATATTAAGCAACTTTTTCTTTTTTAAAGAGTCCTCATCTTTTAAAGTTACAAATTGCAGTGAACTGATAAATGCTGAAATGATTATTATTCTATTTGTTATATGTGTAAGAACTCCCACAATAAAAAGCTTAAAACAAGCCTGTGGGCCCAGCTGGCATGGCTCAGTGGTTGAGCGTCGACCTATGAACCAAGAGGTCACGGTTCGATTCCTAGTAAGGGCACTTGCCCAGGTTGTGGGCTTGATCCCCAGTGTCAGGCATACAGGAGGCATCCAATCAATGATTCTCTCTCATTATTGATGTCTCTCTCTCTCTCTCTCTTTCTTCCTCTCAGAAATCAATAAAATATATTTAAAATACAACAACAAAAGTCTGTGGGTCTTCCTCCCCCTCCCCCCAAGTTCCCGCACACTGTCCATTTGAGCTGGGAATGGTCTTCCAGGGGCCTACAGTGGCGTAGAGGATGGCATACCTGTCGATGAACTGGTCAATAATGACGATATCGCCGGGCTGTATCTCCTCCCTCAAGGAACCGCAAGCTGTGGTCACTATGACATGAGTACAGCCCTCCTCCTTCAGGGCCCAGATGTTCGCCTGATAGTTGACTTTGGAAGGCATGATGGTATGCTGCCTCCCATGCCTGCGGGAAGAAGAGCGAATGTGGTCGGTGAGTGAGCAGCACGTTTTAATTGTGTCAGAAGAGAAAACCAATTCACAGCCCTTTCCACCAAAGCGCTTCCATTGGCAGAGGGGGAAAAAAGAGGCTGGGCCGTAACCAGCCAACTCTAAGTATAAACCATTCGGTTTTAAAGGGCAGTTCAGAGTCTGTGTCCTTATTCTCCTATCGAGAGCAGGTACTCACTTACTTAGAATTCCCTGTCCAGGAAGCTGAGTTGTGTCTACCCAGTGGGACACCAAGCCCCCCAATCAGAGGCATCTGGTCTGTGATCCCCGACACAGAAAACAAGAGGTGCCCACGAAGAAAGCCTCTGAATAGAAATAAAAGCTCAAGCTTCCAGGTGAAGCTCTCCGGTCCTTCTGCCCGGCCACCCAAATAAGTTAATAAAGCATTTAAAGCATTAGAAGGTTTCATCTGAGAACTGATCACTTCACGCATGACCCATGTTACGGGCTGAACTGAGGCCCCCTCCATTCCTACGCTGAGTTCCTAACCCCTAGGACCAGCAGAATGCAACCATATTTGGAGGTAGGGTCTTCAACAGGGTAATTAAGTTAAAATGAGGTCATTAGGGTGGGCCCTAATATAACACAAATGGCACACTTACAAGCAGAGAACATCTGGAGAGATACGCAGAGAGCATGTGTGAAGATACAGGGACAAGATGGTCATCTACAAGTGAAGAGGGTCATCTACAAGCCAGAGAGGCCTCCAAGAGACCCTTCCCTCCGGGCCCCCAGAGGAAACCAATCCTGCTGACACCTTGCAGGTGGACTGGAGACTTGATGCCAACCAATGGGATTCAGCAGAGCTGCTGGGAGTCCCTCCCATGGGTAGGCTCCATCCTGACAGCAGAGACCCGCCCGCGGGCCTTGCAGGGGAGGGCTGCTGTCACGTGATCTGCTCCTGCCAAGGGTCACGTGGCAGAAAATGTGCACAGCCTCCAGGAGCTGAATTCTGCCAACAGCCACGTGAACTGGAATGAGGATCTGGAACTCCAGGTGAGAACAAAGCCTGACTCTACCTTGTGTGACCCCGAACATCGGACTGAGCTAAGCTGTGCCCACATGGCTGACATCCCCGAAACTATGAGATCACATATGCTGTTTTAAGAAGCTAAATGTGTAGTTAATTGTTAAGCAGCAACAGAAAACCAATACATGTATTTTCTAAAAATGTGATGCAAATGATTTTTCTCCCTCTATACCGGGAACCCTGCAAAACTTAGTGAGATAACAAGGGTGTAGAAACCACTTCAGGGACCCAAAACCGACACCCCGAAAACAGAACTATAGTAATATTCACTGAATGAAACAGTTTTCCTTTATCTTTAGAAAAAGAGTTTCAACTTTAGTCAAATGCATCCTATCTCTCATTGGATTGTTCTAACTACTCTCCCAACCTAAAAAGGGGATCCCCTTTAGGTTGATGAGATATGAATCAGTTTAACTTGCCCCAAACACCGTAAGTGGTGAATAAAGGTGACTGAAATACGTTGGCTCCACCAGCACATAAAACTCAGACTTGCATCATTACTCTTTCTGGGTTTTAGGTTAAATTTAAATTCTCCTTCAGTAGCAACATTTGAAAAGCTTAAGACACCTTACCTTGCAAGGAGGACGCAATCAACATTCTTTATCTTCCCCAAAATTAAGGCATCAGAAGGCTGCACACAATGAATAATGATTACAACTCAGTGATTTGAAAACATAGATGAACAATTAAAAAGCTGCCACTTCGACGGTTCCACCATGAAAGGTTCCATGGAAACTTGGGCGTTGGACCACACACTTTAAAGAAGAGTCTAGATTTGATGAATAATCAGTAAATATTTACGGAGGCCTTTACAAGCACAGAGGTTCACAGGAATTTGAAGGTTGCCTCAGGCTAGGTCCCGTTTAGTGAGGCCTATTTGTAGCAGGCAGGCACCCCGGCGGACTCTGACAGCACACAGCACGCTGATCAAATACAGCTGTGTTGGTATCTGTCAGGTGTGAGCGCCGTGGGCGGGAGGGCGGAGCGAGGGGGGGGGGAATTAAGAACTGAGCACTGGAACCGTTTGCTCTGTTAATCAACCAGAAGATGGCCAGGGGTGGCCTGAGGTAATGGAGAGAAAGGTTTTGAGAACCTAGGGGCTCAAAAAAACATAAGGCTAAGAAGTGAGCCAAGCTTATAGCACAGCGGCTCTCAACCTGTGGGTCGCGACCGCTTTGGGGGTGGAACGACCCTTTCACAGGGGTCGCCTAAGACCATCAGAAAACACATATAATTACGTATTGTTTTTGTGATTAATTACTATGCTTTAATTATGTTCAATTTGTAACAATGAAATTGGGGTCACCACAACATGAGGAACTGTATTAAAGGGTTGCGGCATTAGGAAGGTCGAGAATATAATATAATATAGCAGGACTCGGAAGACCTGAGGTCGACCTAAGGACTCGCTGAAAAAGAGGGTTTGGTTGGGACCCTCAGATGCAGGGACCTTCAGAGCCGGATGGAAAACTGCAATGTTTGGAAGCAGCACGAGGAGCAGCCCCCTTTAAATAGAGAAGGAGGGTCTTACTGTATTCCCAGTTATGCAATCCTGTTACGGATCCCCACGAAATCCCCTTTGGGGCCAGGGCTTACTGTGAATGCTGCTTCCTCCCATGGCCTTTCTCCTAAATTAGTGTGACATGACCTACATTACAGCTTCTAATGTAACCAGATTAGAAGCTGATTTACATGTTTTAAATGCAGAGAACTGAAGGGTACAGTTGCTATGTCTAAGATGAGTATGTGGCTTCTAGGAATGTAAATTGAGAAGTAATTTGCACATGTTCAGCAGCAGTACTTTTAATATAAGAAAGTCCGGGCGCCCTTCGAGACACTGTCTCCGCTGGTAGAACCCACTGACAGGACTCCTGGCCCCTCTCAGCCTGAGGCAGGCAGCCCCGGGGCTGACAAGACAACAGCCATTTAAAAAAATTATTTTAAACTTAAAAACCAAGCCGGCTGGTATGTCTCCATTAACTGGGTACTAACCTTGCCAAATGGAGTATCCACATACTTCTCGGTTCTTCCTTCTAAGATTTCTGGATCATCCAGGCCTGTTCCACCAATGATTCCAATCTACAGGGAGACCACAAAAAGGTGCCATATTTCACCAGTTTCCATAAGAAACAAGATCAGAAGCAAATTCGTTTACTCACATGCTCTTCTCCATTCCTGCTAGTTATTTTTTTAAAAATCTACAACTACTGACGAACAGTCATTCAACACACATTTGAAATAACCCAAACGTAGGTCACCCTTTTGGACTTTATCACATTTACTGCTGATAATTTAAGCAACAAATTAGTACAGAAAGGTACTCTATTTAGCTTCAGCAGGATATCAATCCTCAAAATAGGCAACTGCGGTTGCAGAAAGTACACTCAGTAACCGATTTTTTATTCTCTACTAAATGGACTGTGGAATAAAGAAAGTTCAAAAGACTGCTGGGATAGAAAATATTCTGTATGGCCACTTCCTAATGATTTCTCCTCATCCCTCCATTAGATAAAGAAACACAAGAGATGTTCTTTCCTGAGCCACTAACATCGGAGCTGCAGGGGACCACAGACAGACCAGTCTAGAGTAGCATGAAAGATCAGCCTCATGTATATTTGTGAAACCCAAATGCCATTCCTAGGTATGTGTAAACAAATGAGTAATTCAAAGGTAGTTCTAATCTTTTAAAAATTCCAGTGTCGTATTGCCGTTTCCAGAACCTAACAGTCCTTGAGACCAATCTAATTTGACGATGAAGAAACACAAACAAGAACAATTTCAAAGATAAATACAATATCAGCTGGCCAGTCAACGAAAAATTAGAGAAATGAAGTCGTTAGGAAGGTTGCTCTCCGGGCCACTACTTCCTAAAGGAGAAACAATACTTAAATTGTCAGCAACAGGCGAGAGAGACGACATGTTACTAAGAAACCCAATGGAAAATGACCTGAGCACCTTTTTTCAATGCTTTAAATCTATTGTCACTTGAGTAGAGTCTCCACTAAGTAGGAGAAAGTAACTCCTTGAGGGGGAAAAAAAATGGGGAGTTAAAGATTAACTGAACATCTGAATAATTCAGATCGTGTTAACAAGTGGATTTAAATTAATGTGTGGGAAAAGGGTTACCTCTCCCGCCCTCAGTTTCCTGGAGAAAAAAAAAAAAGTCGCCCTATCCGGTTTTGCTCAGTGGATAGAACGTCGCCCTGCGGACTGAAGGGTCCCAGGTTCGATTCCGGTCAAGGGCATGTACCTTGGTTGCGGGCACATCCCCAGTAGGGGGTGTGCAGGAGGCAGCTGGTCGATGTTTCTCTCTCATCGATGTTTCTAACTCTCTATCCCTCTCCCTTCCTCTCTGTAAAAAAAAATCAATAAAATATATATATTTTTAAAAAATCAACAAAACAGAAAATAAGGGCAATTTGGTGAGATTTTGCTGAAGAGCTGCCCGTTACAGGATTTGGAACTCTGCCTCCCCACAACTTCCTCAAGTGGCTAAACCTGTTTTTTTTAAAAGATGTTTTTATTGACTTTTGGAGAGAAAGGAAGGGAGAGGGATAGACTGAAACATGGGTGAGAGAGAAACACCACTGACTGGCTGCCTCCTGCACGCCCCCTTCTGGGGATCAGCCCGCCACCGGGCCACCGGACGTGGGGTGTGCCCCGACCCGTGACCGGGAAGCAAACCGGGACCTCCGGGTTCAAAGGTCAAAACTCAACCACTGAGCCACCAGCCGGGCTAACCCAGTGTGTGAAGTTGGTGCCACCTTGTGGTCCATTACTGAAACCACAGCAGGTTACATGCAGTCAAGTCTAACCACATTTGCCGGTTACAAATCACAGGTTCAAATCACAGTTTCACATTCACGTTTCAAAGCAACAGAAATGTTCACTTAAATTATACATTTAAATCATGCCGGTTCAATAGAATTTTTTTTCTTTTAAATCACACTGTTTTATGCAATCCTAACCCTTCATCTGCCTGGCTTCTCCATTTTACCCTTCATTCCAAGGTACTTGTGGTCACACACACATTGTAGGGGACTAACACGTCATCACCCCAGACCACAGAATTGAACTGCTGACTCAAATTACTCTCAGTCTGCTCTTCAGGGATTTTATCGCTGATGAAAACTTCCATTTTGCAAAAACAACCCCCCCAAAACACACACACACACACACACACACACACACACACACACACCAAACAAACCCCAAAACAACAAAAAGCTTATGACCACTTTGACTTGGCTGTTTCTGGATGATCTCTGGGCCATAGCATCTCACATTCTAGACTCTCAGAGTCATATGTACAAAACGAACATGTTTTGAAACCTTGCTCTCAGTTTAGGCAAGCTAGCCCAGCATTGCGGAAGCTCCTAAGAAATGCTAATGGGGATCCTGCTGAAGTTCAGTGCCCTTGAGCCCACCCTCAGCACTCCCAAGCTCCAGTCCCCACCACCCTGACGCCATGACAACCCTGCATTAGATAGCTGGTAATTCGGCCCTCACCAAGGAACAGGTAGTAAGTACTGGGCATGGAAGCAAGAGCTGCTACTGCTAGCCAGAAAGCCCAGCATGTGGTCTCTGGCCCTGGACTATGTGCAGGAGTGTCCATCCATTCACCCAACTGGCTCTGATTGTTCATGGAAACACTTACCTTGCAAGGGACACAGAACAAGTACAGCAATTGAATACTGCCACTCCAGGGAACTGGATTTCTAACCATTTCCTGCAGCGGCAGATTGAGGCCAGCAGTGCCAAGATGTGGCAATGTCGCCACCTGCTGGCTCCACGGCAAAGTACTGTGTCTGAGCACTTACATGTCATAGGCCAGGGGTCCTCAAACTTTTTAAACAGGGGGCCAGTTCACTGTCCCTCAGACCTTTGGAGGGCCGGACTATAGTTTTGAAAAAAACTATGAACAAATTCCTATGCACACTGCACATATCTTATTTTGAAGTAAAAAAACAAAACGGGAACAAATACAATATTTGTATTTGCATGTAGCCCGAAGGCCGTAGTTTGAGGACCCCTGTCATAGGCACTATGGTAGGCGCTTCAGTCCTACGGGACAGACCCCATAGTATTACACCCATTTTATAAAATTGAAAAGAAAAAGCATAAAAAGGAAGAGACTTATCCAAGAGCTAATCACAAGGAGCCATGCTGGAATAGCAACCCAGGCCTTTCACCTTGATCACTAAGATGTGCTACCTCCCAATACCCCCTCTGGGAATCTTTATAACACCATACCCTAGTACAGTGATGGCGAACCTTTTGAGCTCGGCGTGTCAGCATTTTGAAAAACCCTAACTTAACTCTGGTGCCGTGTCACATATACAAATTTTTTGATATTTGCAACCCCAGTAAAACAAAGACTTATATTTTTGATATTTATTTTATATATTTAAATGCCATTTAACAAAGAAAAATCAACCAAAAAATGAGTTTGCGTGTCACCTCTGACACGCATGTCATAGGTTCGCCATCACTGCCCTAGTAGAAAAGTTTTCTCTCCATCTTATGAGAAAACTGATGCTCTGAGAGGTCAAGTTCTGGCCGAAGGTCACAGAGCACGCTTAGAAACAGTGACTCTGGGCGTCTAAGTGAACCCCCTGGGAGGGCTGGGGGTGGGGCAGCTCTCCATCAATGACTTCATCCACACTTGGGAAGCAACGGCAAGATCTTACTGGGCCTCCTGGGCCAGAAGCATCAGCCCCCATCCAGGCAGTCCCAGGCTGCCTAGGAAATGTGTTCCGGGGCTGAGATGGGATTTTGGGGCCAATTCTCCCCAGCCAGGACTTCATTACACAAGATAAAGTTCTGAATAGGGACCCCCTGATCAATCAAGATCATTGCCAGATTTTCATAGCTTAGTGTCATCCCACACTCTCCCACTGACACACCGCCAAGCCAATCTTCTTAAGAGAAGATTGGACTTTCTGAGACGATGAAAGCATTTTGTTGACATGTTGGCTTACTTGGGCAGAATGGCTACTTCCAGCAATGTTGACAGGGCTCGTACGAACCCCTCCCCTCTATTTCCCCTGGTGCCTGGACCCAGGAGATTTCACATACCCACCCTGGTTACACATTGAAGCACCATCACACTGAGGCCAGGACATACTACCTAAGGAACCCAGTCCTCGAGGATGGCATCTCAAAACACCATAACCCCGAGCAGCCGAGACCAGCTCCTGCCAGGCGGAGGGCTGCCTCTGAGTGTTCAAGCTCTTGAAGCAAGAGAGCCCAATGTTGACAGGGCTCGTACGAACCCCTCCCCTCTATTTCCCCTGGTGCCTGGACCCAGGAGATTTCACATACCCACCCTGGTTACACATTGAAGCACCATCACACTGAGGCCAGGACATACTACCTAAGGAACCCAGTCCTCGAGGATGGCATCTCAAAACACCATAACCCCGAGCAGCTGAGACCAGCTCCTGCCACGCGGAGGGCTGCCTCTCAAGCTCTTGAAGCAAGAGAGCAGGGCAGCACTCCCTGATCTGAGTGCTCCAGTCCTTCAGCTCTGGTGGCCACTGACAAGTTTGGCAAGTGCAGCAGACAGCGCCCTTCTTATTGAGCCAAACTGGCCTGGAGGCCTCCCAGGGCCTTGCAAAATCCCAGAAGTCCAGTTGTGTGAGGAGAAAGTGGCTAAACGTCTGCTTGGGAGGCCTGTTCAAAACCCGCGATATTGTCCACAGATGGAGCTGGTGGCTCCATCTCTGACAAGATAACCCACCTGTAAGCCACCCCTGCGGGTGATGGTTATGGGTTCAACTGTGTCCCCCAAATCTATACCGTGAAGTCCTAGCCCCTGATACCTCAGAATGTGACTATTTTTAGAAATAAGCTCTTCGAAGAGATACAGTTAAAGGAGGTCTCTGGTGGGCAGGGTGGTATCCATTATGACTGGTGACCTCGTAAGAGACTAGGACACAGACACGCGGAAGGAAGACCATATAGTCACAGCAAGGAAATGGCATCTGCCAGCCCAGGAGAGAGGCCTCAGATGAATCAACCTGCTGACACCTTGATCTTGAACTTGCAGCCTCCAGCACTGCCTAAGCCATCCAGTC